AGTGCCAGCCAATGTACCTGCGACATGCGTACCATGGCCCACCGTATCTGTGTTGCTGGCACCACTAGGAATTGTTTTGCCCCATCTTGCACGGCCACCAAAATCCTGTTTGAGGACAGGTCAGAAATAGTAGTATTTTTAAAGACGGCACTTACCTGGTGGTCAATTCTAATGCCTGTGTCAACAACGTAGGCAGTCACTCCCTGACCAGATTCGTTGTTGTCGTAGATATAATTATTATCTCCAGGGTTAAAAGGGCCTCGGTGTGAGATACGGGACAAGCCCCACGAGGGTGGGGCAGGTTGAACATCTTGGATTCGGATGTACTGATTGGGTTGGACATAATCAACCTGTTTTGTGTTAGAGTAACGTGTAAACTCCATGCTTAGATCGGTATATTATCGTGTATAAAGATGGCCCTGTGACCGATAACGAATTAGAATGAATGAGGGCTGCCTTAGTTACCAGTGGTGATTCTTTGATTGACTGCACGACAGTCGAGGAGAAAGTCCCTGTGTACCCCCTGAATACAGGGGGAGTCTCTCCTGATGTACTGCTGTCCAGGTGTTGGATAGAAAAAGATTCAACTGCTGTCTGAGATGGCACGCCCACTTCCTCATTTTGCTGGGACCCAATGGACTCAACGTGAGAGGAGGCTTCCTCCTCACTAATAGTTGGCTTCAAGACCACAATATAACTATTAGGGATAATATCTCCCTGAGGCACGTCGCCGATAAACCCCATGTTGGGTATTTGATGTAAGTAAAGCAAAAGAACGAGCAATCGATTTGTTAGAAGTAATTATTTGTTCAGGACAAAGCTAGTATTCGGTTCGCGAATTTGTCCTTGTTTTTATATGAGAGCTCTGAGCGTTGCTTCGGGCGAGATGCATTTGCATAACACCCAGACTTTTGAAGGTGAAAAACGTATGACGAAGCATGTTCGTAACCCCTACGTATTTACTCAACATTGCTCCTCAATAGTTCGTACGCAATTTATATCTTTGTGAATGTTCACTGAGATAAAATCTCTGTTTCTGTGCTACCTATTCCGTTTGCATCACTACCGCTAACTTTGGCCGCGAATAGCTACTACTCTGCATTGTCAGGAGACATCAGATCAGAAGACCAGGAAGGCTGCCGGCTCTACTTCAAGTCAGTACGAAATACTTTGCGTCGGGAGTCTTAACGTCATACTCTTCTAGTGCATCACGACGAGTCTGCTATGAACACCAGAATTGTCTGCTGGTTAGTTGACTTTTTGTTGCCCGTATGCAAGTAGTATTGTATGTGATATACATATGAGAAACTGAGTTAAGCGAGCTCCTCAACGAATTCTGGTTCGTGATACTAGAAGTCTATCAATTAGAACATGGTTTCTAGGTTGAAAGTACAAACTGATCCCTAGACCATGTCCCACTAGGTGCAAATTATAGTTATAGACAGAATAAGAAGTCCAGATGGGTTTCAACAGCAGCTATTGAAACGTAGAGAAGACTGGGAGCCTCTAGTATCGCAACACATTCAGCGCTCTTGCACTGCGTATAATGGTCTGTGCTGTTGCAAATCGGATGTAATTGTTCGACTGCTCGTCATCACCCGCCAGGGAAATTGACCATTTCCTAAAAGGAGATACCAATCACGAAGCTTCAGACCACATTTCATCCGTAGTCACTGGATTTCATTACTCAATGGTATAAATATAACCAAAGTCCAGGCTAATTCAGGCATTATTGAATGGAGTAACGTTCGACTGGTTCTGAGCTTTCGCAAGAGGTCGGGAGCAGCCATGGCAGACTTACGGTATGATCGATCATATTGCAACGGAGCTCATGTCCATCTGCCTGGACTGATAACTAGTAGATTCACTTTCTGAGTTGTGTGACTGGATCTACCATTACCCACTGTTGACGTGAAAACGGCGATTACATCGCACGTCGAATGATCCACCTGCAAGGCTATGATAAGTTATAGTAGGTATGCTTTGTATGCGAGCTTAATAGTGATACGTACATTCCCAATGAAAGAAGCTCAGTCCGTAGGTATCACCATTCCATGATTCACTTTTCTTTGGTCCCCTTTATGAGATGAAGAGTATATCGATTGTTCTTTAGGGACTGCTAACACGACAGACACTCAGAGTCGAAGTGGTGAAGGTTCCTGATGTAGAGTCTTGAACCTTTACAAACATTAGGTTGCGATTATGGGCAAAGACCCAAGTGAACCATTTACTCTAGCTTTATGGACTTGATCTGGAAACTACAACACATGATCATATGATGGACAGAAAATAGCAGACAGTCATGAACTTGACGATCCGCCTCGTGGGACACGAGAACCTATTTTCAATGTATGCTTCAGCGAATAGGAAGTTCGTTAAGGATCAGCAACGCTTCTGGGATACAGGACACACGTCCTTGGAGTTTCCACTCCGAAATTCGGATGGCTCATTATATTAATGTCCCTCCATATGGTTGGATGGGGAGAAGGACCGTCATCTCCATCCTGCCAAACCTCTGAGACAAAAGCAGTGAGCTGGCAGTAAATATTAATATCAATAGTGCCTGGATTACCCAGATACGGTCTAAATGGAATGCTGACGAGCGAGAGAAGGTAGCATGAGAGCGGCCACCATGGAGAGTATAAAGCAGTTCATCCTGTCTGTTTGCGCTGAACCTGCATAGAAAGGTTTGGTGTTAAATTAAACTAAATGGTCTGGAAATCGAGATTCGAGATTCCAAAGCTGGGAAAGCGACCTTTAATCCGGCGGGTGGCCAATAGTAAATGATGGCGTTCGTATATCACAGGCTTCATTTTGGAACGTGATCTTAGCTTGAGCTATGATCATAGAAGCTATGACGACGATTATACAATGATAAGGTGACGACTTCAATTGGATTTAGACGTCATTCCGACGCCACACCTTCCGTTTTCAGGTAGAGTATGCTGCGTTCGCGAATCGTATCTGTTCGGATCTTGAGTTGTATAAAACTAAACTGTAAATTACAGACAATACATAATAACTGAGCATGATCTGAGGCGATAAAACTTTACTGGGTATTGAGTATGTAGTTTAGGCTGCTGGTTGTCTGAAGCAGGGTTTTGTTTATTTGGCTGTGTACCACGGCGAAGACTCTCTAATCGTTGACTACGCTGACTGGCGATCCAGGGTGGCGTCATATCCCAGAAATTTTACTGCTACTCACAATGTTAGTTCTGGCCCGGGCAGAGGAATTTCTTGGCAGTTGCACCACTGAACAAGCCTGAACCTTGGAGATGCCCATAGTTGAGTCTTTGACAACCAACCATGGGCTAGGTTTCCCTTTGGTTCTATGGCGTGTATAGCCCTTATCCGCATGCAGAGTTAAGCAGCTCATCTACATGGCCCATTTAATACCTGCTGCGGGATTTGATCGGTCCATCGTATACCTTACCGACCATAATAGCCTTTTTAATCTATCATGCGACAATATAGAGCAAACTTGTTGAAAGTATTACACATTTACCCTGCTGTCACCACACACCCCGATTCGGATCCCGTTCTCCAACGCCCATTTTGCTGACCAGCCGGTCGACATTGGCGGCGGCGCATCGGCTTGACAACTATTTCTGATTGCAGTCAGGCTTATCAGTAGAGCCCAACCTAAGCAAGCTCCAATCCGACGATATCCTCCGTCCGTTAATAGGCTTGGTTAAGTTTCGGACGCTGAACGTTAGTCGAGCGCAAAAAAAGATTTAGTACTCTATCCCTTTCTATCAACAGCAGATAAGTGCGCACACTTGACGCATAGTGATTTAGCGTTCGCCTTTTCCTTGATACGGAGAGTACAGACAGCTCATGGCCCCTCTGTTCACCCAAGGTTACGGATAACTCAACAAGATGAGGCATACACGTAATTCATTCTATTTTCTCATTTCCCCAAGTTAATTAATTTGCTAGACTTCTACGATGTCACTTCGATGCGAACGGACAAACCTCACGACAGATGATGTTTTGGTCTTCTGTCCTTTGAGACGATTGGACGTCATCCGGGTGCCATGCAGTGTTCATCTAGTTCCACCGCAACAGCCACTACCCCTCCATAGTTACGACAGCCTGAAATCATGCCTTTGGCCGCTGGGGAGAAAGTCATAGCTGCCTGGATAGTCATCAGCGCGAGGACATCGGTTGTTGACCAATCTAGAAAGTTCATGATGCTAGCATGCAGCTTTTCTTTGCTGGAAATCATGCGCAGATGGACGAAATAGCAAAGGAAACAAAATTTTCGCGTGACGCTGTGAATGTGTAAATTCGAGGAAAGCTCTGGATGATTAACATTAGTAATAGAGCTATCGTATTTTCCGATTTTACTAACAAGTACTGTTGTAGGCACTGTTTCAAATCAATTCCATGGATAAGTGCTCAATCTGTTGCCGCCTATACGGGAAGTAGGCTGAAAGGAATCCTAGTAATACTTCATTTTATTGCGTATGTAACGTTCGAAATATATTGCAGAGGTATCTGCAGGTTGGGATTCTCTTCTGCTCCCTTGGATAGGACGATATGCAATAGGTATTCTGGTAAAAGTTCTCTTCCGTCAAGTTGAAGGGGCTTATTAATCCGAAAATGACCCATTTTACTATGAAGTACGGGAAGTCAGGAGGATGGTCATGAAGCGATAGATATGAGACGTCCTTTCATTACGGCGCATCTAACTATTCGGATGTAGGCGGTTCCAGTACGGGCCTAATGTTACTACACATGGAGAATGGGAAGCTCCAAGTTCATGATCTCACCATTAATCGTCGATATCTCGCTGTGGTACAACAGGTGTGCCTCAAGTGTCTGTAAGATTCTTGTATGTGTTAGTTCCCATGTCATTTTCCTATGCGAGAGGTTCCTTTTAGAATATATATATAAGGAGGCAGCTTTACATCAGTCATTTGAGCTAATATTCCAAATCAAGGCGTCTGATAAAAACTTGTCAAAGTTCACGTACGGAGCTTACTTGTCAAGGAACTATGGACCCTAGTATCGAAAGACATGTGCTGGCGCCTGACGACACGCAGTCACATCTAATTGTCATCTTCAAAACTACATCTATTGCAAGACTCACAGATACAGGTCTAGAGCCTGCAACAGTCGATGTGTCGCCCGTGCAAGCCCTTCTTGACCGTATTAATGCATCACTTATGCTTCTTTTCGGGCAGGATGAGAACCGTCTTGAAGCCCATCAAGAAGGCCTCCTGTTGTCTTTGCAACAACTGAACTCTGGCAAGTCAGGCAATGAAGGATTAGACCAAGAGCCGACAGGTTTGACTTCTACCTGACATATTCCAGCGCTGGCTACTTTCTACTATGTCGATGGGGAAGCTGCCAATCTAGATGACCTTGCTGCAGAACTCAACCAGCAAGATATTGTTGAAGCTGCATACGTTGTACCTGCTGCTGCTGCTCCACAATACCTTCGGATTGACCGTTCCCCTGCTCATGTGCCTTCTCAAACCCCGGATTTCACTTCCCGTCAAGTATATCGCAACGCAGAGGACATTGATGCGCAATATGCGCAGCAAGTTTCTGGTGGCACGGGGGAAGGACTGACGGTTATCGATTGTGAGTGGGGGTGGCGGTTCACTCATGAAGATTTGAAGGAAGTCTAGGGTGGTGTGATCGCAGGCTTGAATAGCTCTAACACAGACCATGGGACGGCGGTGTCCGGAGTTATTAGCGGAGACGTCAACACATTCGGTATCACGGGAATTGCCCCGGACGCTATGTTTAGTGGCTCATCCTTTAATGGGCAACCTTACTCTGCTGCTATTTACGCTGCAGCAAATAGGCTCAAGCCAGGATATGTCATCCTCCTTGAGATTCACGCGCCAGGGCCCAACGCTCCGCGCCCGCTGCAAGGACAAAAGGATTCATTGCCATTGAATGGTGGCCGGACACTTTTGCTGCAGTGCGTTATGCCGTCGCAAGAGGGGTTATTGTAGCTGAAGCTGCAGGAAACGGAGGCGAAAATCTCGATTCCCCTATATACAATACGCCCCTCAATGGCTTCCCTAGCTGGTGGCGTAACCCGTTTAATCTTCGGAATCCTTCGTCTGGCGCGATCCTGGTCGGCGCAGAATGCCCACCACCTGAAATACATGGCTGCAACCACGGTCCAGATCGTTCCCGGTTGGGTTTCTCCAACTGGGGTTCGCGGGTAGACTGCCAAGGTTGGGGCTTGGAAGTAACCTCGACTGGTTATGAAGACCTGAAAGGCGGCATAAGCCCAGATTTGTGGTACACAGATGAGTTTAACGGTACTTCTAGCGCATCGCCCATCGTCACTGGCGCAGTACTCTCCGTTCAAGGTGCGCGGAAGAAGCAAGGAAGGCGCTTTTTGACTGCAACGGAGCTGCAGGACCTACTACGCCGCACAGGCAGCAAGCAGCAACCCAGCGTTCAGGTGGGGAAGTCACCCAAAGAATTGGAAATCGGCCTAACCTGAAGGAGCTGATTCCGGCAGCCCTCGTTATAAGCGATTAAAGCTGGGGTAGAGAAGCACAGGGAAACAAAGACCTCGAAGGAAAATTTGTTTGATAGGAGTTAAATACATGCTTTTACAACTTGGGATATTGTATCATCCATATGAGCTAGTAATGGTTTCATGCATGGAGTCTACCTTTCCCGTCTCACTCTCCTATCCTTTTAGCACGTGGTATCAGAACGTCTGCACTGCAGCCTTTTTATCCTCCCCCAGTTGGCCGGCTTACCGCCCACAAGATGGAAAGCAAGCAAATTTCTTAGTGGAATAAGCAATACTGAGTAGTATAGCGAGGCAGAAAGTTCACAGTTACGAGTCGTCACAGAAGCCCGGTTTGCTGCCTACGGAAGGAGGAAAGCAGCTTCCCTGATGGCGCAAATACTAATACCGCGGTAGACTGATCGGCAGTGACCCCAGTATCTAAGAACTATTTGCACAGATGGTTCTCTAAGTACCAGCTGGACTGGGGTTTAGGCGAAATGTGGAAATAGGCGATACCAAGACCGTCATATTGGATGCTGTTCAAGGAGATAATAAAGTCCTGTCTGGTTCTTAAAAAGCGATTGTTTGCGTATTATCTGGCTCGTTACTATATATATGCGACAGCTGATGTCCGTTTGAGGGATGTCATTTTGCACCGAATGGCTCTTCTCATCTTGCGCCTCATGAATGTAGGTATGGCTTCCCCTGGATGAATGCTTAGGCAAGTTAAATTATCATCGCCTATTCAATCCTAAATTGATTATGACACGAACTCATTCCAGTAGTCCCCTTCTCCACTTCAACTTAAAAGGTCATAGAACCGGCAGAGTTGCGGTTCCGTTCCTGCGAGATCACCTCATCGCATCGTTCATGAGGCATGCCAAGTGCTACTTATATCCAGGTGGCAAGCTAGTCATCCCACGTATCCAGCCTTCAATGCGCTGTAGAAAGTAGCTTGAGTAGGAAGTTCCCGCGAGACTGTACCAGGTTAGCATTGAAGATTCGCCAGGAAGATTCAACACTACAGTACCCGTCGTGTTTATTAAGTTGCAATGGGAGGCTCATACTAGATTTGCCTGTATCAGGATGTGAATGGAAACCATGTGAACTGGGGATAAGATATAGTCTATACTCAAAATCTGCTGCGATTAAAGGAGGGAACAAGATGGAATTGAAGCCCTTCAACTAAGCCCGGATGAGGATTTATACAGTCATCTAGGGCGCGATCCTCTCTAGAGAGGGAAACATTATGTTCCACTGTATTAGGACGACCGGTTTCCTCTAGATTTAGGACAGGTATCCCCTAGAGTTGTTTACCTGTCCTGGGTTGCGAAGGTACCGTGCGAAATCTCGTCATGAACGGGATACGAAGCCTTGACTAGCCCCAGCCTTATATCGATACCAACACGGATATGCTTGAGGGCGTCATTCAGCTGATCGGTTTTAACTTCTAGCGTGCACTCATACAGTTGGATTGGTCTAGGCACCCAGATAAACCGCAGTTTGCAGATTATGTTCCAAGTTACCAGAAGTTGTCCCGTCCACCTAGTAAATAAAGCTAATCAGTATTCCTTGGCATACACTACCATATTGGCAGAAAAGTCATGCTCGACGCAAGTGATACGTCCATGCAACCCACTACATAGTGGCATAGGACTGTGTCATGGCGTTGAATATTTATGTGTCCACTGACACTGAGGTGTCTTACCAGCCCTCTATCCATGGAAACAGCAATTAGTTTTCTGATATGCTCACGGGCTAGAGAATTATTTGATCTAGAAGGCCCATTTAGCTTGGAATCCAGCCATGGTATCTACATTCTACTGCTAGTAAGAGTTTCTGCACCAGCACGGCAAAATATCCACGGAAAAATATTTAAAGAACTGTAAAGCACAAAGACCCTATCTTATACTTATATTCCAACTGGCATTTGTGAATATTCTTATTACGAGCTAGTAAGTCTTCTATAACTTATTCCCAGAATATAAGGATATATCTACCTAGTACACCATATAGAGGGTCTTTACAATTTATATAACAATCCTACAATTCCTGACACTCCTTTAAGTAAGCGATATTTTGATTTCGCGGAAGATCTAGGACATCGGCTTATCTATAAGTACGTGAACTGTATCAGCATAATTATATCCAGTCTGCTCTGCTGAACTATTCAAATATTCTTGACAGTATTCTGCCGGATGTCACAGATCCGATGATGACTCTGCATGATGACTGTATCGTATACCCTGCCCGTTGTGCATACACAGCTCGGAGGCCGAACAGCGACGACAGATCACATATCCGTTGACTTTTCAATAGCGTATAGTAGCTCCTTGTCAGTCTTATCTTGTTAAGAGAATAAGGGGTTTCTTTTGGATATAAAGTTAGCCTAATGTTAATGGAAGAAGAAGGCAAGAATCAGTCTTCTGTCTGCCTAACATCTACTGCTTAGCTTTTTGTCTACGTACCCTTACCTAGTTGACAGGTCTTCTACCCTGAATAATAGATATTTCCTTGACAACTATCTGAATACCAGATAGTCAGATTTCCTATTCATTCTTTTGATCTCTTCAAGTCTATCCAATCGTATCTAGTCGTTCAATCTATATAGTTATTCTATTTTTATATCCTCTTAAGCCAGCCCTAAGACAATTCCGCTTTAGGATTAGGACAACAGTATATAAATACCCTGCCTATATAGTCTTCTGGATACCGGTTGGCTGAATCTTATACATATTACTGCTGTGGGCAAGATAGACTGGTATTTCCTGAATATTGTTAGATACCAGGTATATTCGACAGAGCTTGCACTAACTAAAAAAGCCTGACAAAGCAAGTTAGTACTCTGTACAAGACGAGCTGTGGCAGCCACTCGGTGATTTAAGAGAAGGGTCTCAAACGGGGAGTAGTAGTCGGTATACACAGATTCTTAGTTTCTCACAGGATAATCTGATTAATGTTGACACAGAGATTATTGATTTAGATAAGCCAATTAATTTAGATTCTAAAAAAGATAACTATCTTAATAATTCAATTAACTTGGATCCAGAGGAAGATAGAGAATAGTCTAAGATGAAATAGATATATATATACCTTATTAGTTTGTTTTGTACTCTTGTATATCATTATCAGCACAAGTACCTGCCTCCCTAGTTGTACAGGGTTTGTGTACAGCACCTGAGTAAGACTTGTACCTCTACATAGTGCTCAGGACTAGTAGCTAAATTGGTAGTGAAACTAAGTAAGTCTATGGTCATCAGTTCTGCCGGCAGAAATTGATAAGATCCCGTTGTTGTGGAGTGGCCGCTATGATCCTCTGTAGAGAGGTTCGAGCTCCCCTTGAACTGTGAGGTTCCGCGGCCCCACAACCCCGCGTCTAATCTCTAACTGCACTCGGGTTTATGGCAAACTTAAAGTTTCTATGATAATATGTAGTCCTGGAAAGGGACCACTCAAATACCCTTTCTGAGCACTACATGTCGCAATAGGTTATGAAGTGACCGTATAAAAGTAGTATAACAAATTACTGTGGTGTTCTTTGTTAGCTAATAGCGTTCTTGGCATTGTAGCAAAAGCTTGATAGCTAAGGGTAGTAGGTATTGCATTGGTGGGCTGGTATCCCTAGGCATCCGCGGAAGGCACAGATCTCCTCTGGGGGTGACGGAGTATTCCGTTTAAAAATCATGAATCCGCTCTTTTTCCTGCAAATGATGTGGGATTCACCTCGGAACCCGCTGATCCAATCGCACTCTTTCAAGTGTGATTCGATGACATCGGTCGCCGAAACCACAAGGTCCTAATGGTTATAAAGCTATAAATACATGTATATTTTGCCAAAAGGCTACATATCCTTTATCTAAAATGGGTGAACAAAGCATAATTTTGGTCTGGTATTAGCCACGCGATTGAATCGAAACATCAAGCATCCCGCTATTTCCCAAATCGCAAAGCATACTTTCCAACTGAGACCCATCCGTCACAACTTCAACATGGGTAACGATTGTAAGCCGGTTATCTTCATTGGGCCGCCGGCGCCATATGTGGCGAAGCCATAAGGGTCTATGCAAACGTCATCGGCGGCCGCATTGTCCTGGCAGACGCGAATGAAGAGGCCCTGCGTTCAGTTGCAGCCAAGCTACCGGGCAAAACTTTCGAAATCCGGACAGTGAACCTTTCCAATCCCGATGGGTTGCGTAGCATTATCAGCAACGCTGCCCTAGTCGTTTAGGGTGCACAGCTGTATTCTCGGTTTTCACTACCTGTACCCACTGCCTGTAATTGTATTGACGCAAAGATATCGTATCTTGACTATTCTGACGATGTGCAAAGCACGCTTAAGTCAATTGAGCTCCATGAGTGGGCCACAAAGGAAGGAGCTCTGTGCTATATAAACTGTAGTATCTCTCCGGGTATAACAAATATTCTTGCAGCTAAAATTAATCAAGAGCTTGATACTGACGGGTCCCTGGATATTTGCTGGCTTATCGGCGACGAGGGCGGCAAATTAGGTAGAGAGATTTTAGAGTATCTGATATATATATATAGACAGAGAGAGAGAGAAATATATTATACATGCAGTAAGGGGTCTGAAATAGCAGTAATTATAGTAGACTGCTTTCTCTCTTTTCCAGACCTTATACTACCAATTATAAGATTGATCTAATAGTCTAAAAATAGACTACTAGAAAGAAAGAGTACAGTATTCTGGATATATTAATATATATTGCGTCAAAACATGGAATTCAGCAGTAGATATATATATTGGGAAGATATCTAGATAGATAGACTTCCAGTGTATATTTAGAAAGAGATAATATCTAAAAATGGTAATTTCCAGGAAATATATATCATAAGGTTAATATCTAAAAAATATAGCGATATAGACGATTTCACCTCAAGCGATTTGATGAGGCAGAGGATCAGGCACAGAGATATATCTGATATATATAACTGCTAGGCCTTGCTTGGCCTGGGCGGATGGTAAGGCGGTAGTCTATGAGAACTGGATCGAGACCTTCTATGCCCCCGTTTCTCCGGGGTTCAACGACCCTTTTTACGAGAGTGTTCACCCCGAGCCTGTCGCCTTGCCTCGTCAGTTCCCAAACGTGAAGCAAATTCGGGTTCTCGGTGCTCCCAATCCTGCGCCATTCAATGGCTTCTCCCATGGACTTGGTGCTGCAGTGAATTCTGGTGTCCTGAAAATGGACACCGCTATCGACTTCCTAGAAAGTACACAAAGCTAATCATCAGCGAGCTGGAGTGACTTGCTAAAAGCAGTCGTGGGCAATTTCGGGGTGGCGAAATTACACCTAACCAATTATACAAGCTCGCTTCCCACAATATTTCATCATTGAAACCGTGGAACTATGCTCTCTTTGGTATGATCGAGCAGGTACACAATGGTGGATGCACAACTGGTGAGATTAGCAGTATTTTGATCAACTCTGTACGCGGCAAGCGGGCACAGCCTCGCGGTGGCGTTCTTGTGCGCGGTGTTGGAACCCGCAATGTAAATCGAGTCGTAGTCATTCGACGAACCCCTGCTGTTCAGGAGCACTCCTTCCCAACGGGAGGAATGACAACTTCAATCGGAGCATCCTGTTCGGCATTCGCACTGTTGGCGCTTGAAAAGGGGAGTGAAGCACGCCTGGTGTCTATTGCTTGGAGGACTGGACCGAGTCAGAGGCCTTGTTTAAGGCAATTGAGAAACTTGGCTACCCACGGGATCAGATTATAGAGTCAGTGCCGGCATAGGGGATCAACCGCTGTGCTCTCGAGCTCTAGGTGATACGAATGGAAGCCCGATAGATTACAGTAGGTGATCACCTGACGCCCGGTCCCACCTGCCGCCCGATTTCACCACCACCAGCGATATCGAATATGAAGCAATTCAACCACACATAATTACTATTATCGCGAGATCTTTTGGTGGATTAATATAGTCATTATTAGGACTCTACATACAGTTTTTAATTGTTCCGAAAGCGCTGTGGGAGCCGGATCTCGCGGCCTCGACGATTTACTGTTGGAGGGGCCTCAGGGACATCTATAGGCGTTGTTGGTCTGGTTTCTATAGGTTTTTTCTGATGTGAAGCTTTAGGGGCCTTCTTTGAAGACTTCTTTGCCTGCTGGAAGTCATTTTGAAGCTGGCGATCCGCCTCCTTTGCTAGGCGAGCATCCTCCTTTTGTTGTTTCTTTCGCTCTGTCTCTAGCAGCCGTAATTCTCGCTGGAATGCCTGATTTCTCTTTCGCTCTTTAAGTAAGCGTTCTTTCTCCTCTTTAGCAAGCTGCCGACGGATCTTATCTTGCTCCTTTGGCACCTTAGCAAGTTGTATAGCTTCATCCTTCTGTATTTGAAGATCACGAGCCTGCTGGACCTTTTGAGGAGAGTAAAAAACCGCACCACCATTCTCAGGGGCCGCGAGCTCAAACTGCAAGGGTTTCCCACGTTGACGCTTCTTCTTCTCATTCTGGAGGGCTGATTCGAGGCCTTGGCAACGTAGTTTAAGGATAATATTCTGTGTAGAGAGGTGATGCATCGTCGAGCTCAACTTCTTGGTGTTTTTATCATATATATCAGTAACAACTCGATTCAGAAGCTTCTCAATCTTCCGCCAGTCCTCTGCCTGTAGGATTGAGCGCGAGGAATCGCTTGAGGACGGTCTAGAGTCTTTCTGCTTGTTAAATCGAGCCAGAACTATTTCCGGATCCAGCGGCCATATCCCCACAGCTTGCCATGAAGAAAGGATATTACTTGTCGATAAGGCCTGTTCCCAGGCTGGCCAAAAGAGGCGAAAGAAGTCCCGTTTAGTAATATGACTAAGGCCCATTGATTTATGTAGAAAGTCCTCGAGCTTCTTACTGTAAGCGGTAGAGAGAGGGCCGAAGATCCCAACATCAAGCGGCTGCAGCGAATGAGTTGAATGAGGCGGATATATCATTAGTAGGATCCTGTTGGTATTGCAGTAGTCGATAAACTTCATAGTAAGATGAGATCCATGACTATCAAGGATAAGAAGCCTCCATCGCCTGCGTGCCTTGTCCTTGGTTTCGCGGTCAAATATATTAGTTAACCAGGCATATCCTAGCTCATCATTGGTCCAACCGCTTGCAGAGGAGGCGAAGAAACAAGAATGAAGCTTCGGATCGAAGTCTTGAAGCCAGGAATCTTGTATATTACCAGTAGAAGCCTGGTAAATAAGACCCGGTGAGAGAGAGGTTCCGTCAGCACAAATACAAGCAATTGAGGTTATCCACTCGCGATTTCCATCCTGTAGGCGTTGCTTGAGTCCTCCCCCAGCTATATATTTCTGCTTTGAGAAGATCCTGAGGCCTTTAACCAGTATTCCAATAAGAAATCCTTTCTCGTCCATATTATAGATATCCTCTGGCCGTAGCTCATATTGCTGTATCTTCCGGCTTAACAGCTCGAAATATAAAGTATATCTATATGTAGAATCGGCTCGCTTTCTCGCCGCATCGATGGCTGTTGTATAGGTTGAGATAAGCTCATCTTGGTGACGCTTTATAAAGCGCCCAGGCCAGTGTTTTCCGGGTTTCGTGCCAGTAATTTCCTTTGCAAAATTCCGAAGCATCTCATGGGAAGCGAAGAGGCCTCGATCAGTAAGCTTATTGATATAGCTTATTAGTTCTTTTTCATGTTGGTTGGTGAGAACTCGCTGTTGCTCATATTGGTGGTCTCTTGGACGCTGTACCCCACGGTGGCGCCTTGATAATGTTGTCCGATCAACACCAAACTCTTTCGCAATTTTAGTATAATTAATTGAAGCGCCAGCCTCCAAGGCATTGATTGCTTCTATCGCGGCTTCAATTGAACCCATATTGGCTGAGATATAAGCTGTTGAAAATCATCAAAAAAACAGTCGGTGAGGGGAAATCGGGCGTCAGGTGGGACCGGGCGTCAGGTGATCACCTACTGTATGTAACTCTGTGTGCTGTGGGAGCGATGAACAGAGCAAGGAGACCTGCGGATAGCCCCTAACTAGCGCCTTTGGAACCACTTAGTCATGTCGCGTTGATGACTCACTGCTTACGCCCGAGGAAACGCGTTGGCGTTTACTCCTTTCGTGAACATTGTGTGAAAGGACTACAGGAAAGTAGAGTTGGCATCAGGCAGGGTTCGGGCCCAAAATCTAGGACCCGCCCCGAACCCGGGCCAATTTAGATCAACCCGACCCGAAAAACCCCGAAAAACCCGCCAATAGACCTGAATAGGTATGGTGCCGCATATTAATCATATGCCTTGCCTATATAGGGTTCGATTAGAGCCTTATTCTGGTTTTTAAAGCTCTATATCTCTACCAATTCTATATATATGTATATGTAATGTAGGTCTATAGAGAAATCCAGAAAAAGTCTAGAAAATCTAGATTTTTTGACCACATGATGCCAAGAAAAACCCGTGCCACTCTACCTAGTCAACCCAAAGCAATGAATGACAAGGCTGAATCTCCAAGAACCACCGCACCAACAACGACCAACATCCATCCCATCTCAAACCTAACTCCCATATGAAACCGCTCCCCCACCACTTTCTCTACAGAGATGCCGCCCCTCGAAAACGCGGCCTACACCATCGGATGGATCTGTGCCCTCCCACTGGAAATGGTCGCCGCGCGCAGCATACTAGACACCAGCCACGGCAAGCCTGCTGAGCAGCACGCGCGAGATGATAATAGCTATTTCCTGGGTAGTGTTGGCGCGCACAATGTGGTCATCGCTTGCACGTCGTCCTACGGGACTGTCAATGCTGCTGTCGTCGCGGCCAAGATCCCCTTTAGTTTTCCGTCTGTGCGGTTCGGGTTGTTGGTGGGCATTGGGGGCGGGGTTCCCAAGCTGACGTGCGATATTCGGCTGGGAGACGTGGTTGTTAGTCGCCCTTGTGGGACGTCGGGGGGTGTTGTAAGGTGGGATTTGGGGAAGGCGCTGGTTGGGGGGGAGTTTCAGCGTACTGGGGTCTTGAGTAAGCCGCCTTTGGTGCTGTTGAATGCATTGGCTGCGCTGGAGGTCGAGTATGAACTTGGACTGGGGCTAATGGATGAGTATCTCGCTGAGATTGTTGCGAGAAATAAGAGCGCGAAGTTTAGGGCCGAGTATGCATACCAGGGGACAGACCATGATAAGCTCTATCTACCGGACTACGCGCATCCCGAGGGAGGAGAGACCTGTGAGATGTGCGATGAAGGTATGCTGGTTGTCCGCGAGAATAGAGAAACCCTTGATCCCGTTGTGCACTACGGCATCATCGCGAGTGGAGATCAGGTTATCAAGGACGCGAGGAAGAGGGATGAGATTGCGCGCGAGATTGGAGCGCTGTGTTTCGAGATGGAGGCCGCCGGGCTGATGGATAATTTCCCGTGTCTTGTTATCCGGGGGATATGCGACTATGCGGACTCGCATAAGAACAAGCGCTGGCAGCGGTATGCTGCTGTCGCTGCTGCTGCGTTTGCGAAAGAATTGCTGGGTCAGATTACGCCGCAGGCTGTGGACCAGACTCCGACGGTAGCGGAGGTGTTGAAAGAGGGTGCGTATGGTTTATGAATGGTTATGGGAATATGGATAATGACTGTTAAGATTTGCGGCAGATTAAACAGGATATCGGCGGTATAAGGGAGGTCATGACGGCTACGAGTGAAGGTATTGCGGCTCCTGCATATCTGTTGAGTCTAACTAACCGCATCTCAGAGAAAACACGGTCTCGCATTGTGAACTGGATTCCTGCGAACGACTATGGATTCCGGTATACTAAAGTTCTTAGCGAGCGTCAGGAAGGTACGGGAGGATGGCTTCTAGAGTCGTCCGAGTTCCGTTCCTGGCTCTCAGATGAGACGAATATGTTGTTCTGTCCAGGGATTCGAGGCTCGGGGAAAACAGTCTTGGTGTCAATGGTTATCGAGCACCTTCTGCACACGTATCCCAGTGATAAACTGGCAGACCATCAGACTGCAGTCACATTTCTTTACTGTGACTACAAGATGCGAGACCAGCAAGATGTGCCCCAGCTACTGTCGTCTATGCTGAAGCAACTGCTACAGCAGACGCCCGTGATACCAGTTGAGGTCAAGTCGCTTTATGAGCGCCAATCAATTCTGGACATCAGTATGGGCCTGCAGGAGGTCAAAGACGCTATTTTGTGGACGCTCCAAGGGTATGCCAGGACCTATTTGGTGGTTGATGCCCTGGATGAGTGCGCCGAAGATGTCCAAGTAGACCTGGTGAGTTGTATCCGTGAGCTTCAAGAAAGCCGCCAGGTAAAGGCCTTAATCACGTCGCGAGATATCAGGCGCATTGTGCGACACTTTGAAGACGACACTATCCTACCAATTCACGCCCACACAGAAGATGTAAAGAAGTATGTGGAGGGAAATATGGCGCGTCTGCCGGCATTTATAGCCAGCAACATTGATCTTCAGGAGATGGTCAAGACACAAATTGTCCAACGAACAGAAGGGATGTTCCTTCTGGCGCGCTTACATCTAATGTTGATCAAGCATCAAGTGTCGGAAAAGAAAGTCCGACTCGCCTTGATGGAGCTTCCTCGCGGCGAGGGGGGCTTAGAAGATGCTTACGGTAGTGTGATGCAACGAATAGAAAATCAGCCCCTCGAATACCGAAAGCTGGCACAGCGAGTTCTTTCCTGGATTGTATATGCCGAGAGGATTCTCAGTCCTTCCGAATTGCGACATGCTCTGGCTGTGGGGGAAGGAGCGGAGGACATTGACGAGACCGACGCCCCTGACCTGGATATTATGGTCTCTGTCTGTATGGGTTTAGTTACCGTTGATCTACCCAGCAACACAATCCGTCTAATCCATGTCACTACACAGGAGTATCTCCGAGGTGTCAGAGAACCCTGGATGTGTTCTGCGTATGAGGACATGGCCGTGACATGTATTCGATACCTGTCTCTGCAGCCTTTCAAGAGTGGCCCATGTCAGAACATCCAGGCCTTGCGGGCGAGACAAGCCGGCTACGTTTTTCTGAAATATGCCGGCGCTCACTGGGGACACCACGCACGCCCGGTCCAGACAAAGATTGCCGATACCGCGGTCTCCTTCCTCATGGACAGGGCCTTGGTTTCCTCTTCCATGCATGTTCCATTCCCATCAGCAGTCAAGGCAGGGGTCGTCAAGGAACTCCCCCTAGAGGCAACTGGTCTCCATCTCGCTGTTTGGTTTGATCTCCCGGATATACTCTACCGGTTGCTGGACAGTGGCGCGGTTGTTGATGAAGTAGACAGCACTAACAGGACGGCACTTCATTGGGCAATGAGATTGAACAATCAGGATGCCGTGGAAGGGCTCTTGAGAGGCAAGGCTGATGTCGAAAATATAGACCCTGTAATAGATCATTCCCCTCTTCATCTCGCGATATCACTGGGAAACACGGATCTGGCGAGGGTTTTGATTCAGTACGGAGCGGACATTGAGAGTCAAAATAGCGATGGGCATAATGCCTTGCATTGGGCATGTAAATGTCAAGATGAGGAAATGGTACAGATATTGTTGGACGAGGGAGCCGATGTTAATGCATTAGGGATGCAAATTACAGTGGCCAGAAGGAGCGAGAAAAACAGTCTTAGCGACGAAGTTGCATGCATCAGTGGCGAGGAGAACACCCAGGATGAGGATGGCAGCAATGGCGAAATGTCCGAATATACTTTGACAGCCCTTCAGATCGCGACTATTTTCGAAAACGTGGAAATCATGCGTCTGCTGGTCTGCGCGGGAGCTGATGTTGATTTATGCAGACACCCTGGAGAGTCACCGCTCTCTATTGCTGCTTCAAGTGGCTGCACGGATCTTGTACAATACCTGATCGAGAGTGGCGCTAAGGTTGACGGTGGAGGATGTATGGACGAACCTGCTTTAACGCCGTTGCACTGGGCAGCTACAGCGGGCTCTTTAGAGGTCGTGCAGCAACTTCTGAAGGCAAAGGCAAGTATCAATGCAATAGGTATTGACGACATAGGAAAAATAACCGGTATGCGAGTGACAGCTCTTCAACTGGCAAGCGCGTATGGACATGATCTCGTCGTCCGCCTGCTCCTAGACAACGGGGCTAACCCAATGCTTGCGAGTGAGAAGAAAGAGTCTCCCCTGTACCTAGCCCTCTTCCGCCAACATGTGGACGTCGTCCGAACCCTCCTCAAGACCCAATTACTGGACACTGATATCCAGTACTTTCTCCATACAGCGGTCCAGATAGATGACACAGACTTGGTGAAGCTGGTGCTCGAAATGAGCGGACTCATCGATGTCGGGGAGTCCTTGTTCTACGCTTTGTTTGCTATCACTAGTGACAACGATATTGAAGATGAGATGGTACCCTTTCTTCTTAAGCAAGGAGTACCGCACAACTCAACAATCGAGGGGTTCACTGCACTTCATGTTGCTGCAATCAGGGGACATGTCAAGTCCGTCAAGGCCCTGTTGAGCCACGGAGCAGATATTAGTGCCACAAACGAACAAGGAAGAACTGCTGTCCATTTGGCAGCCTCTTGTAGACGGTTGGATGTGCTTTGGGTATTCCAAAACCTCGGCCTTTTGAGCCCGTCAATAATGGAGCAGCGGGATGAAGCAGGGAACACAGCCCTTCACTGTGCGATAGACAAAACCATCGATCTTCCGACTCGCGTAGTTGCGGAAGTGAGTGCCAACGATGAACAGCTGGAGGTGATTAAGCTACTTGTGAGCGAAGGAGCAGATACAAATGCAAGAACATTGACAGGGGAAGTTCCATTGCATCTAGTTGTGAATGATGCGATTCTCGAAGTCCCGGAGCTTATCTTGCCCCTGGCAGATCTCCTTATAGAATATGGGGCTGATATCAATGCAATGGACTCCGATGGATGCACCACTTTGCATTTGGCTGTCAAGAATTGCCAAGAAGACCTGGTTGCGATATTATTATATCAAGAGGCAGACACAGAAATCCTGAATGAAAACGGAGAGACTGCTCTGGAGCTTGCCGAACGACTAGACTTCCAGGGTATCGTACACGCCCTGCTGTCTGCCGGGGCGACAGGTCGGCAAAACCAAGAGTTGCACCGCTTGGCCCAGTCGAAGTGCCTTCGCTTGGCTCAAGAGTTGATCGAACGAGGGGACTCAATTGCCCCTTCGATGTTGGAGGATATGATGTGTCGCGCAGCAGAAGGCGGTCACGACGTGCTCTTTTTATATCTACTGGCGCATATGCGGGATGATCAATACAAAGCATCTCTTGGCGCAGCACTGCACATGGCTGCTAGTTATAGACGCCGCGGAATTGTCGAGCATCTTGTGCGATGTGGGGTCCCTGTGCTTGATTATATCATTGAGTACTTTATCCAAGCGGGAGATCATGAGATGGTTCATATGCTGCTAAGCCACAGCGGTGCGCCCAGCTGGGGTTTGCTCAGACTGGCGGTTAATCGTGGGAATGAGCAGATTGTGCGATATCTGCTAGACTCAGGTGCTCCGATCATTTTGCGAGGCCCAGACGGCAGCATGGTTAATACGGCCATACACAGCGCTGCCGAAAGTGGACATGTCGATGTGGCACGGCTTTTGCTTGATCACGGAGGGGATCTAAATGCTACAATCTCTTCCGACGGAGTCTCAGTTACTGCGCTGGAAGTTGCAGCTGCAAGCTGCCAGACTGCGGTCATGCGACTTCTCCTAGATCGAGGTGCCTTGGCAGATCAAGCCGTTCTGAACCTGGCAGTTGAGTCAGGAGACGAGACTGTTGTGCGGGCTCTTCTAGAGCATGGGGTAACAGTTGAAATAAATGCTCTCTGTCTGGCGATTAAATGCGCCGTTGAAGGGCTTTGCAACCTCCTCTTGAAACATGTCAACGACATCAACACCTTGAACGACACGGGATACGCGCCCTTGCACTTCGCTGTCGTATATTGGAAACCGTCCATTGCCAAGATGCTCCTGGATCAGAAAGCAAAAGTGGATATCCAAACATCCTACGAGCAGGAAACGCCCAACGGTCCCAATATAGTGGCGGAGACCCCTTTGCACATCGCCGCACGAGTGGGTAACAGGGGCATGGCACAGATTCTCCTGCAGCACGGTGCCGATATCCACGCTCTTGACGATCGCGGCCGCACGCCACTCCACCTTGCAGCGAGTCGAGATTGGTATAATGAGGGCTCGATTGACCGACGCGATGAATATGTTATGCAACTTCTGCTTGATTGGGGGGCAGATGTTCATTCCTGTTATGGCCACCGAGGCACAACAGCCTTGATGCGAGCGACCAGTTCCGGCTACGACGAGGGTGTACGCTCACTTCTGAAACATGGAGCCGTTGACTCCGCAGACGCTCGCGGCATGACCAGTCTCCATAGAGCGGCATCTAGCGGGCGGTTTGGAATCCTTCAGCTCTTACTCGACATCGGCTCAGATGCAAACTCCAAAGATGAGAATGGCAAAACCGCCCTACATCTTGCGGTGTGCAACAACGAATTAGAAATAACAAAGTGCCTCGTCGCTCACCAACAAACCAACTGCCAAGCCACTGATACCGGAGGCAATACAGCACTGCATTACGCCAGCAAAAACGGAGACTACCAATCTAGCGCGGCACTCTCTCTAGCGCCAGAATTCTCCTCCTTGGTCAGACTTCCCACGCTAGACGGGGTGACAGCATTACATCTCGCCGTGCAGGGTTGCTTTTCCTCACTAGTCCAATTCCTCCTGAAACACGGTGCCGATCCCAATGACGCCGACATCGACGGCTGGACGGCCTTGCACTATGTAGCCTCAAGAGACGATTACGAAATGTTTGAGATTACTTGGTTGTTGGGCGAGTATGGGGCTGATCCTGGCTTGGTTGATAATATGGGGTTCGCGCCGCTGGATATGCTGTCGCAGGATGATAGGGGGGGGATGCTGCAGGTGTTGCAGGATGCGGCGGTTAGTGCGCGGTTGGGGCGTGGCGCGCGCGTAGTAGATGATGAGACCGAGGACGATCAGGCTCATGAAGTGGAGGTCAGATCAGAGGGTGATCTACCGAGTGAACCCGAGGAGAGTGAGCCAGCATTGCTAGGTAGGAGAAGAAGTATATAGTTTTGATACCCGAGTTGATATATATTATCGGCTTCTCTTTGCTTTTTCCTGCTTATCGTGCTATTCTCACTCTGATTCTATTTTAGAGCTTTCTCGCTCCATTATGCGTATTTAGTACATTCAATATACATTTACATTGCTTTTCGTTTCCATTTATTCAACTATTCCTACCCCGTAACACCAAGATAAGCATTCCTGGATCTTGGCTAGAGTTGATCGGGGTCCCCGCAAAACCCGACCCGATATCAACTCTAGATATACTACGTATTCCGATTAGGCTGGCTGGCTGTACGTGCGGAATGGAGGGTTGTGTGTGCCGATTGCTATCCATTCGCATAACTATATCATCAGGTGTGGCTATGCTCTATAACAAGACAATTGGTGCTCCGCTGCCAATGGACCTTTCCAATTGGAACACGCTTCTGGCCATATCCCCCGCAAACCCCCGACCATGGCGAACGAGCTTTGATCATTGACTTCCTTCGCTCCAACCTGGATCGTCGACCGTTTACGACCTTCACTCCTTTCGCTCAAAAGGAGTTTGTTCTCTTTCTCATCATAATGTTCGACGAACAAGCTGCTGGCGATATTGAATTCCAAGAAAGGTCTACTGGCTCGGCATCGCCGATTAAAACGAAACCCTCCTGTCAGAAGACTTCCAAATGGCCATCACCGAATACTTGGTTCTGGGAGATTGTCTCCTTGTGCTTTAGTATTCTATGTTTTGTTTCCATCGTGATTTTGCTCTCTTTTAATGATAACAAAAAATGACCCCTGGAGTTCCATGGGTTAACGATAAACACCATCGTCTCCATTCTTGCAACTGGGTCTAAATCTTCTCTAATACTCGTGGTCAGCGCATCCATCGGCCAGCTGAAATGGCTCTGGCTGCAAAAGGAACGACGGAGGGTATACGACATCCAGGCATTTGACGATGCCAGTCGAGGGCCATGGGGATCGCTTACCATCTTATTCTCACACAAAGCAGAGTCAATCGTATCCTTGGGGGCTATCATCACCGTTTTGGGGTTATTATTCGATCCATTTATGCAACAAGTGGCCAGCTTGCCTGGTCGAGAATTTTCAAGTCCTTCCGTCGCTACTGCAAATCAGCTCGAGGGATGTAACTTCTCTGACATTCCTTTCAGCTTAAACCAGGCATACAATGCATCCCTGTGGAGAAATAGCTTTGATCTCAATCCCGTCTGTCTGTCGGGAAAATGCACTTGACTACCTTATCGATCAGTTGCTGTGTGCAGCAAATGCGAAGATGCCACATCAAAGGCCACTCTCCATGGCTGCGATAATATCAAGTTCGACTACAATACCAACGATACCCAGTCGATACCATGCAACATCACCTTATCCACCGTGCCGGGGTTAGCACTCCGATACTGGTAGAGAGAATGTCGTCATATTATCAGCTGTATAAGATGAAATTTCCCAATAATCTCAGCTGGTCTACCTACGACTCTGAGTCTGACAATGCAAGGTCTGGCAGCAATGTCTCGTATGCTGGAGTCCAGAATCCGCTACAGGTGTTCGCCTAGGCCGAGTTGAACGTGGCCAATCTCATCAACGGCACTCAGCTATCAGGCTCTGGGAATGAAATGGAGATCATCAAAGCCACCGAATGCGCACTCAGCTTCTGTTCCAAAACGTACTCAATGGTTGTCGTCAATGGTGTTCCGTCAGTGACCACCCATGATGTTGATTGGGGCGGATCTGTTCCCCCAGAACAGTTCGCATCGGGCCTTTATTGGAAATCGAGCAATTACTCCCCTCCCTGGCATTCGCAAGAAGACAGAGCCAACCCGTCACAGCTGTTTGTCTACTATAACGGCGGAGATATCACCAAGTTCGCCTTTGGCCCGATACTTAATTTTTTGAGTGGAGTTAATACTTCCTTTACGGGACAGGACTATCAGGTGTGGGAACAGGAGGCGTCTCGTAACTTGTCCACATGGAAGTACAATGGAATCTCAGCCAACAGTCCTGATACCGTTAGGCAGGTCATGAACCTGGGTTTACCCACGGCGGTGGAAAACATCGCAGACTCGTTGACCAACTGGGCTACGGATCGAAGCAACAAAATCGTCAGCGGCACAATGTTTGTTCGAAACACTTCTGTCTCGGTGAATTGGATCCGGTTAATCCTGCCTACGTTTGTGTTGATTTTGACTATCGTGTTTTTTATATTGACAGCGAAGGTCAATAAGCAGCGGGAGGGATGAGGTGTGGAAATGCTCCGTATTGCCGGTGTTGTATCATGGATTGGATAATAATCTTCTGGATGATGACGATCTATATGCCACAATCTGCGATATGGAACAATCTGCGCGGTCCATGGAGGTGAGGTTAGAACGCTCGAATGAAGGGAGATTAATGCTGTAATAGATCGAATAGATGTCCATAACAACTACGGCAAATAGTTACACCACCGCTCCAGCATTAGAAAACTGACGAAGGGATGGAGCCAGCTACATTCACAGGTACAGACAGGAATCAGTTTCCCTTTTAGTTCGTCATCCCGCCCTACTGCCTGTTATCGATTATTTGACATGATAAGAGTTTTGGTCCGTTCTATCATAAGCGACTCAGTCTGTATTCCCTCCTGGGCGCATAATGTATACGCAATATCTAACCTGGCCGCAGACTGACCGCTTGGGACATGTATATAAGACAATGCTTCGATCCTCCGCCATACAGGAATTTGTTCCATGCACTGTACCATCTGCTTTTCCCCAGCCTCACCCTCTTCAATCTCGATAATCCGCTCAACCACCCTGGCAGTAGAAATGCTATCCCAAGTCGCCTCCCGGATTAGCTGCCGTCGCAAAATACCCAAGGCCTCACGACGGACGTTAGGATGCCGGCACTTGGCGCCGATTATGTAAAGAGCGGGGATAAATCCGATCTCTGGCGTAAAAGTCGACGTTGACGACCCCGAATACCGCTGATGTGCCGCCGCTACCTTGCCCGCCAATGCGACGCATTGCTGGAACTGGGGCAGGAAATTGTCATAGTCCATTTCTTTGCCAGGTCCGTAACCACTGAGGAGAGTCCATGCGATAGTGTGTTGTAAGCGCAGGAGTGATACGAGAGGGTCAGTTTCACAGCCTGACTCGGAGGGGCTGCCTTGTTGCAGGAGGTTTTCGAAGAGACTCGACCACGTTTCCAACTGCCCGAGAACGATGTCCTTAAGTGAAGAAGGTAACGCCGGCATCGTACCCGTCGGGGACATTTGTTGCTGTGTGCTGTGCAACCTCATTACCTGAGCCACGAGAATCTGGAGGTGGTCGGCAGCTTGATCAAGTGACCAAAAGGTCCTGTCGAGGAGTGCAAGACGGGCCGTGAATGTCTCTTGGATGTTGTCTGGAGTCCAGTCGACTAGAAACATGACGGCTTGCATGTCAAGACGGCGAATCTGTTTTGTGACCTGGCAGATAATGGCATGGATCCCCGAAGATTGGATATCGTCGTAGGTACAGTTATTCAATGTAGCGTGGTAGATGTTGCGTGAGAGCGCTACACCTCCGCGTAGGTGTTTCATTGCTTGTACGTCGTCACCCGCCAGATGCTCAAAGCAGGTAAAGAGATAACAGACCAAAAGCGTGATAGCTGTTATTGTGGCGCTGTCGCCAGTTTCCGAGTTCAGCAGAAGATGAATGGCGCGGTTATAGTGAAGCAAAGGAGCCTTATCCGATAGCCGGTCTTTTGAGGACGACGATTCATACACCCGACCGTTAGAATGGCGATCCAGGTAGTTTCGGTGAATCAACGCCAGAGCAATGGCAGCATGCCGCACTGATGGCACGGTGTGGGAGAAGAACATGAGAGTGTTCCGCCATGGTTCGCAAGGGCGATATTCATTCAGATGCTTGATCGAAATATCCTTGAAAAAGCACATCGCCTCGGCCTGGGTTGACCCACTTATGGGTAAGATCATAAAGGATCCGAGGTTCTGCAAAATGAGGCCATGGTATTTCGAGTGCCATTGCTTTGACTCGTACGTACCCATCGTGGTACAGGGGCTATAACTGTCGCAGCTATCTGATCTGTCGGTGATCTCGCGATAATCAGTTGAATCAATCTGGGTCTTCTCGGTCTTGGATGCGAGGGGCCTTTCACTATAGCCATCGCAGGTGCGACCAGTAGAAAGGCATTTCAAGCATGAAGGCTGAGATAGATCGCATTTAACTCGTCTTATCCTGAGGCATGTCAGTTACGAAGTCTTTGAACACTGTTGATCGCTCCGTAGTAATACGTAAAAGTCCAGACATACTTGCAAGTCTTACAGCCTAATCTTGACTTTGGAGCGAACTTGCGAGGCTTTCTTCTCCAGGCTTGAATGCCCGTCTTGGTGTTCTTGTTCTTCATGCCATCCATCACGGTGATGTGAGCTTTCTAAGATGTGCAGTTCGCACCGTTTCAGGCAGAGATCAATGTCGAGGCCACCACGACCCGTAAATCACTGCCTGCATGCATGGACTTCAAAAGGGAACTTATGGGGTGCCGATGGAAGTTCAAGATGATGATCTGTGCGTCGGCTCCAACGTCAGTCAGGAAGTTATCGCCACATCCTTTGCGATGGGAAGTGGAATGTGAAAAGGTGGACGGTACAGAGTACAAAAAATGGAGCTTGTGGAAAGACTGGCACTTTAAGAGAAGACTTCCCAATGACCAGTGATGGGGAAGGATTGGATAAGTTAACCTAAAGCTCGACCAAAATATATGTGGAATCGAATTACTTAGTGGCCCGAGGCATGTAGTTATTGGAGGTTTGGGTACTGGTCGCAAACCGGTTATGGTGGGTTACAATAGTTTCATCTTAGATAATCATTGGTGTAAAATGGTTAAGTGGGTCACATACTAAAATCTAACCAAATATTATAGTGAGCAAACAGTTTCTTGGGTGTTATAACTGTGAGTTGACATGAACATTACTTATTCAACACAGTTATAGAATTAAAGTATATAGTACCAAGATAGTCTTTATACTGTTTAAAAATATATTTATTTTAGTTAGAATATAGTATAAAAACTATGTATACACTATACTGAAAAAGCCTTTTACAGTTTACTCTAGCTTGACATTAGAATATCTATAGTTATGAATTATTCGAAGTTGATTATTTACTTAATAAATATATATCTCTTTTTATTTATATTCTGAACAATTTATTTACTGAAATCAAAATAATTAATTCGTCAGGGCAATAGAGATTTGGTGTTTCTTTTATCTCTCCTTTATTTATCTTCTATCTCTCCCTTATCTCTTCTTTATCCTTCTTCATCCTTCTTCCTTTATTCTATCTTCAACTTACCTTCAATCTTACCTCTATAAGCTCCTTCTTGGCTTCTTAACTAGAGTCAAGTATTCTTCTTTATCCCTGCTATCTACCCCTCCGCTATGCACGATGAGTTCTGAATCAAAGAGTTGTGAGTCGTCAGACTCAGATGACAATGTAATCATCTTCTACGAGCCAGAAACCAACACAACAGCTTCCACAGGAAAAGGTGAGCTGAGACCCTTTTACAGAGACCCCTAGTCTAACATATAAAAATAGCAAAAATGCCTAAAGGAAGAGAGGGCCTAAAGACCGCGTTTGGACTCGTGGGCAACGACGAATAGACTCAATAGCTTAAATCGGATATGGTGCAGCCACACTGGGCTTCTCTATAGAACAACTTCTTAAGAAACAGAAAAGGTGGTGAACATGGCCCAGGACTAGTCATAGTCCAGGTAAAAGTGATATCTGGTAAAGCAGCAGATAACAGGAAGTATTCGACATTTACAAAGGATAAAATAGAGTGGGACGAGGTAGATCATTACACATGCTTCCTTTATTGGGTGAAGTATAAGAATATAACAAGCAGAAGCGGGGTGTTCTTTCAGACCCAGAAAACAGAAGATGAAATAGATCGATTGATCTAGGTATTAAAAGATTGGCTTCGCCACATTCATACTCCATCCCAGATAGGGAAAAGGGGTGGAGGTACAGCAATTTTTGACAGTGTCAGAGATTAGTAGTATAGAGGAGTGTGGGAAAGAATTTTACAGCTGATACTAGATAGGCTATCAAAAACGCACCCGAGCAACAACCAACGATGATCAGTCAGGGGCTATATCCTCCACCACAAAGGAAGACACCGAAATGGAATTAGATACCACCGCGGTTTCTGAGACAGACACTCAAGCCGATAATAAGATGAGTCAGAAAGACAATAAAAATAATCTACAATTGAGCAGATAGGAGATGGCACTCCAAGAGAAATGTCTTAGTAAAAAGCAGCAAATGATCCTGTAGAGGAAATCCGACACATTCGATCGTACTGACCCATTCTGGCAGTATACTATGGCCACAACCGCACTAAAAAACTGTGAGCGGGTTATAGGTAAGGAAGAGCCAGAGATTATAGCAGACCTAGAAACAATAGAAGAGGAGGTTAACGTAGTAGCCTTATCTGTTATGAAGGGTGAGCCTAAAACACCAAAGAAATTGAGCAAAAGGGAGCTTAAGACTAAATACCGCGTGTTTGATCCGATAACGACCGATATATTCAACCCTGAGTATTATAATATACAGAAAGAAATTGAATATATATATATAACAGAGATAAGCACTATTTCAACTGTCATAAGACCGACAGAGGAAGGGCTACACTAAATAGAAAAATAAAGACAATGGTTTGACAATAAAGAGTACCAGAAAGAGAATCACAAGAAAATTTATTAAAGGCTAAATATACCAGCTTTATTGTATTCCCGGTTACCTAATATGCATGCCGGTACTATACTAAAATATTGGCAGCCAGTTACTATCAATACACTTGTAGAAATGAAAGTATCTGGCCATATAAAAGACACAATCCTTAGAGACTCTGTGGGGCTTGGGAAAACTTGGGAAGCAGTAGATTTCCTTATATATATAAGTATAGTCTCTTTGTGATATCCTTTCCCAGACTAATCTAAGAATAGCAATATATATTGTTCAAGAAAAGATACGATGCAGCGAAAAAGGAAAAGAAGACACTGTCTCTAGGAAAACCGATATTAATTGTTATACTGCCCACTTTGGTAGGACAATAGATTGGGGAGATTATTGCCATAATATCTCTGTTTAAGTTATAGGTGTATTATAGAGATTACAGAGCCACAGCCGGATATAATATATATATAATAGATAGAAAACTTACAAACAATAATAAGATTTTTGACGGCCAATCCCAAAGGGCAAGGGTGTTAATCCTGATTATATACCAGATATTAACTGCTCGTCACGGACCATCTACAGCAAAACTGTGGTGTGAAAAGGAGAAGATTATCTATAATCTATCTCAGTTCTCTCGACAATGGAAGGGTTCTCTGGCCGGGCTCTTCGAGATTGCTGTCTTTGACGAAGTATATATACTGTGTAATAGAGATACACAATTATCTATTACTACGAAGTGGATATACGCAGAGTTTAATCTCTTGCTAACAGAAACACTGTTTTTTAACAGCGTTTATAATTTCTCCGGATATACAGGTCTCGTGTTAAAAAATGATTATGTTGAACCACAGCAATTGACAGCTTACCTTTTCAACCTACCGAAGGGGTATGAGAAAGAAAATTTATTGCTTACTTATACAGTATTAACCAAACTTATCTTCACGGATAGTATTGATCTCCAATTTACAGGAACACGGTTGCGCAAAATCCTAGTACAATTAATAATTCGCTGTACGCTTAGTTCAAGCATTCTATTTGAGAGTGGTGTTACTATAGGACAAGATATCCCGGGCTACAAGTGGAAGATGGTAATAAGTGAACTAAACAAGGCGGAAGAGCTGGTCTACAAGGCCCTAGAGGTCAGGTATCAACAATATATTCTTATGCAGGATAAACACAATAAAACAAAGTATAGATAGAATATGGACAGGCTTCGGAAATTGATATTATTTTCAAGTTGGATAGGCTTCTAATAGTTGGAAAAAAGTCTTGTAACGCAAAATATTGCAGCAGCGTTGTATTGCCTGAAAGAAGATACATTAATAGATCAATAGATATATACTATTAAAAATTATAAAGTCCTGGACAATAAAAGTTCAGTGATAGGGTTTTATAGAACAGCCTATAAGGTTACTTAGAAAATTGAAAGACCTATCTTCACTCTTAAATTTCTCTTACAGGACTTATCTAAAATAAGAAGTATAATCCCAATTATCAGAGACCAGGTATTTTTATATTATAAAAAGTCTATTGTGTGGACAATATAGCTAGCTGAACAAGTGTATATTGCTGCTTGTCTCAAGGAGATTAGTATAGACGTTGCTATACTGCACTCAGGTCTTGATATAACTGAAAGAACAAGACTAATCGATAAGTTCACTATACAAGAGAATAAATATATAGTCCTAATATTAATATTCTCTATCTTGTTAGCAGGACTCAATCTACAGAAACTTTGTTGAAATGCGTATCTTTTCTCACTCCCAACTTCACAAAGCATTGTCAACCAGGCTATCGACAGAGTATATCGACTAGGACAAACAAAGATTGTGTTAATATATGAATATTTAGTAGAAAAAACTTTTCAATATTGGTTGTGTCGAAGAGGAGTGAATAAGACACTATCTGAAATAATCACAGAATTATCCCTTAATATTAATAACCAAGAAATAATAAGCGACCATAAATCTTTAACCAGATAGCAAATTTGAAATGATAAATTGACTTATTTGGAGAATAGTGAGGAGCCGCAGAAGGGAGATATTTTTGATATAAGTATAATACTCGAACAGATTATTGAATCGATATAGAACACAGACTGAAGGCTCCCCAACTTGAGGATCTAATATTGTAAATCAAGAAAAGCAAAAAAAAAATTTTTTTCTAGTATCTAACTCAGGGGGTAGCAAACAAATCAACTTTTTCTTTTCTTTGTTTAACTTCTTTGTTTAGATATACCTGTAAAAGCTTTCAATTTCTTGGCCTACAATCTCAGAAAAATCTTTATTTTGGACTCCTATTTAATCAAAGATCGATTTTTTTTTTTTTTTAGAAATACAGTGCTGGTTATAATCTCTATAATTATAGCTATAATATAATCTACGCTGCCTATATTATCGCAAGTACTACTATTACAGACAAGATACCGGGACCAAAATCGGTCAATAGAAGCAACCCAACGCGCCGAGACTAACTCAAATTTATGTATATTACTACTAGCTCTTAATAGTGTACTGGGAAATTAATATATCTGGTAGAATCAGAATTATTCTCTACATAATTAACTACCCTTGATGCCGGTGTACTTGAAAACTCGCAGGATTCTGAATATAGTAGATTTTCTATTATATCAGTAAGTAATTAATAAAATTATCGAAAGAAAATTATAATCAAAGTAAACTAATAATATATTCCTATAGCAAAAGTGTAAAGTAGCCAAAAGTACTGGATCTTACTCAAAATCAGTTGTAAAAAGGAAAAAGACTACAAATTATTTAAAAAGTTAACCGACCCGATCTAGGAGTGTTAAATATACTACCTTTACAAATAATCGATTACCCTCCACCCAGCAACCTAGAAATGTACGCAGCTATCAGCCTCTACCAAGTACACTATTATTGCATACAATTCATACGTCTCCTGTGCACCAAGAGGGCTTGTTATCCACTATCAATTCTGCTGATCTTCGATCTTACTCTATATCACCAGTGATCCCCCCTATTCAGGATATAACTGGGCCTGACTACTTCTCTGATAATATGTTGGAGCCTGCCGCCTCTTTATTCAACTATAACAATTCATCCCAGAATTTAGTGGTGGAGGCTGGTATAACAATTTCCACGAACACAAATAGGGCTGTAGAAGATCTTGTCAAGTATACACAACAGCAGTTTATATATGGTCTATACAACAGAAAATCTGCTGAACCAGTGCAGAGAACCTTCCCAGGTATAAGTTATAGTACACGGGACTTTTAAGATACTGAAAAGGCTGTTCGATTCTTCTATAAATCCTGGAAGTTTCGATTAATTTAGAGTGCTACAAGTATATTCCTTGAGTGGTTTATTACTCAACGCTATTCACTACTATATAACCCAAAATCAATCCTTGAAGGTATCACAAGGTTATATATATCAATTTGGTCTTTAGAAATATTTGCTTGAATGACAATCTGTCTATCACTTGATAGCTTCTCTTCTTTCGGCCGATCTTTTGTTCGATGTAAGTTATATACTAAGCTAAGACACTGTCTTCAACTCAGCCTAATTCAATTTAGATACTACTATCCAGTTGGTTTTCCGCGCAGGACTAAATATATTACTTACTCGGGGCTCTAATAGAATTTCTGAACTTGTGAAGTATAATCGCAGTTATGTCTTAAATACTTTTGATAGTCTCTACACAAAGAATAAATATCGAGAACTGGACATTCTTAGGGACTTTCCATTGGTAGAAATCTTGGGTAGTTGCCGGAAGCCCCAACAGTCCCTAATTAATATAGATGCGGACAGTGATGGATCAGTAGAAGAGAGGGATAGGGATGAGAATAAGGATAATAATAAGTACCGGGATAAGGATAGGAATAAGGATAAGAATAAGAGTAAGACTAAGAATAAGGATAAAAATAAGAATAAGAATAAGAATAAGAATAAGGATAGGGAGTAGGATATAATATTTATTTACGATTTACTATTTATTTTTAATGTACAATATTTAATTATATTTTAATCAAATTTTAACTGTGTATACTAGTTTTGAGAGACATACAGTGGCTTTCAATCTCTGTCTTCATTATATATATATCCTATACGCTGGTCATATTATGCCAGAATATCTAATAAATACACTCTAATATTAAACCAATAAGCCTTCTTTCAATATATAATAGTCTGCTATAATATATAGATATAAAAGACTTATAATACACTTTAGAAACATATTAATATATTGATAAGAATAGACTTTTACTATAATTTATATATTAAAAACATTGTTACAGTTGAGCATTGGGTAAGACTAGGTATTTATCTTGGTACTCTAAACTACACCTGTTCTGTGAACACCCCCTTTTACTATAATATCTAAACATCAACTCTACAACACTCTGGCTTCAAAATACCTCGTTATAAGGCTTTTCTATCTTCAAAAATTGTTTGGCGGCCCTATAATAATAGGCAGAATTCTTCGTATTATCAGGATATAACTGCTATATGTCCTCCAAATACCAAAAATTGTCCAGTTTCTATGTGTTATCTCCCAATACTTAAACAACCTCAAGAGTATCCACACAAATCCCCACAGTATAATCCACCTCCATATAAACCTAATATAAGTATATTATAGAAGCCTTTCCCAGATAGTCTATAGTAATATAATCTTAGATTGGCTGGGTAACGATTTTATATATACTCTCGCACTATAGGTTACTTATACAGAAATATCAAGATCTGATTATAGTCGGCTGTATGAAGTATTACAGCTCCTAGATTCAGATAAGGTACGTAATCTACCTCGAAAACTTGATACATTAAAGGAGTAGTTAGAAAGAAACCTCCCACTTCTATCTATATATAAGCGAGCAATCCCTGTTAGTCAAGCACAATAATCCAATACACCTTGTGATTTAGATTTCACAACACAGTAATACTGATTTGATCCACTGTACTTGTTCTATAATATCCTCAATTCTGGTCTTGCAAAAAAGAAAATATACTTTAGAATAACCCAATATACAGATAATCCTATTGAGCTATAGTATTCCTGTGTATAGGGTGGATCTATTACCGCGGTGTCAGGAGAATATATCTACTTCTCCTCTCATGAGACTATTTTCCTCTCAGACTTTGTATTAATACCACAGATATCTGTTGATACAATTAGATTACCTGTTACAATTGGTCGGGTTATATTTATAGGATTGGATAAGCAGAGCTCAACAGCTACAAAAGAACAAGTTATTTTAACACTACAGCCAGTCTTCTCGCGTTTACAGATAGAAAGTATATCTCTTGCTCTATTATCATCTGACTCAATATATATCTTAGTAGAAGATATTAATTTTGAAATACTAGCTGCTGATATTCTCCAGGTAATCGATATAGGTATTTATTACTACTCAGCCAATAATTGTTATTCTTTAAATCCTTCTATCGAGATCCACAGTGTGCTATATTATAAAAAAAGGACATATTACCATCCCAGTTTAATATATCTATTACGCGCAGAGTTAGAGCTTACCTATTTTAGACGGGTACATTTTCTCTCCTGTTCTGCAAAAACTTGCCGGATACACTCTGTCCCATTCTTACTTTTTATCGATGAATTCGGGACCCATCGAAATATATATCAAGCATTAAAAGTATTTTACTTGATTCCTGCTGGCCTCTCATATTCTGCACGTCGGTAAGTAGGAAATCTGTTTACGCTAACACTTGGCCCGCATGGTGCCGCTGTCGAAGATATAATTATCTCATTTCAGGGGAGCTTCAAAGATCTTATTAACGGTATATCTATGCCACTGGATAGTGGTCTTACCTTGGTCACAGCTTTTATTATAGCATTTACTGGTAATATGCCCCAGCAAGCAAAAAACAGTGGGGTATTAAACTATAATACAAGATTTAGTTACCGATTTTGTTATTGTTTAAAAGAGCAACAAGCTGACTTAACTTTTGATACTGTTCTGAAGGGGCGATATTATTTTGATACAATTCAAAAGCTTGCTGAAGGACATCGATATTCAACAAAAACAGAGTGTCAAGAGTTTTTTACTAAATATAGACTAACAGGTCAACAGATCCCTCTTCGAGAATTAAATCCTATCTTAGATATAGTTCTCAGTCGTCCGCATGATGTATCTTATTCTGAATAGAAGGGTCTCGGCAGTATTCTGCAAGACCTACTAATATCAAAGATCCTAAGTCCCTCTGGACAAGTGGCTTACTCAAATACATTCCAACAGTTTATACAGCCATATAACTGGCCGCGGCTCCAGACTCCTCAACACCGCAAGTTATGGTTAATATCGGAAGCAGGTTACTCAATTATTTTAATACCATTGATTCTTCGATATAACACTGAACAAAGTTGGTTTCAGACCTCATATTGTCAACGTATTAAGGATATCCTTCGATTATTATCTTCAGATTATCCAGTTCTACCTGCTTACCAGCTTATTATTTATATATATACCATATTTGCAGAGACAACAAGTCTAATCTCTATGCCGATTTCTCTCTTACCTGATGATTTACACCGTTATATTTTACAAGGTCGAAAGACATTTCAAATGCTTATACAAGCTGCTTCTTTCTTAAAACCTAATGAGGCCACACAATTCTTGTTACCTAGTAAGTTATTGATATACTTGTCACTTAATCCTAACTTCTAAAAGATATAGGTATATCTGCAACAGTTTCGAAAGATAATTGGATCTATAAATTAAACCGTCCAAATCTCCATACTGGTATATATTTTTATAATATTGCCTCTGAATATGTAACTCTAATAAACTGCAATGTCCTAGCAGGAGAGTTAAAGTATAAGTAATTAGACTTCTGACGCTTGACATTGAATATACTGATACCAGTAGATTATTTAAGAGATAGGTAGACAGGGCTACACTATCAAATTTAATAGGCTATCTATTTTGTCTAGATTGTTTTCGTTAATCATTTCGCCTAGGCTTCTTTGGTGCTTGGGATTATCTGTTAACCGGTGCTTTGCAAGTTAATCTCTAGCAAAGATACCCACAACTCACACAGAGCTTTATTTTATTCGACGAGAAAGACTGTGAAACAATATCAGATAATACTACTAAATTTTTCGATTTAATTGATCCTCTCCGCCTGTCACAGCAGCATAACCTTGATATACCTTATAATAGGATATTAATATATTATATATATATATTTACAAGCAAGCTGATTTACGCTTATAATATTGATTATCAGATCACTGATATTGAGCAACTTTCTGTTTTTGAACAGCTTAGCTTCTTCAAAAAGATTGCCTTTAACCAAGAGTAAGTCTGTGTATATTCTGTTTAATATAGTACTAATTCTTCTAATAGAAATGGCCGCAGAGTTACCCTTAATATTGGGTAATTTATTTACTTCTATAGTTCTGAAATCGGCTAGATTATATGCTGTATTCGTCACAGCTTTCAAAATAATCTATACTTATTTCTTTTGGTTCGGCCACTTACTGAATGTGCACAACAAGATTATATACTTAAGCTGCCATTATACGAATATTTACCAGTATGTTGTTCTATACTATTATATATGGTCAATCTCTCTCATACTAAGGGAGTTGCTATATCAGTCTCTACTCCTACACTATGTCTTTGTACTTGGAATATCGATTATATGTAATATATACTACTTTATTTCCTTTCAGGATACTGTATATATATAATCCGTGAAAGCCTTTTACAGCTAATATATGTATAAATAACAGCAGCACACCGAACCCAGTAGACAATCCAGCAGACAACTCCAACCATAAAGAACACTAGTATCTCAATCTCATACACACAAGACTTGCCTCAGGTAAATACCGACCCGACCGCACAGGTACAAGTACATACTCCATCTTCGCACCCTCTCAGTCCTGCTTTTGCTCTCCGCTTCTCGCTCTCCAAACCGGCTCCCAACCCAGTCGATAACTCTATCCCTGTCCTTCCCCTCCCGACCTCCAAAAGTGTCTTCTTCCGTGCTGTCGTTGCCAAGCTTCTCTGGTTCATCTCCGGCTGTATCTTGTCCCTGCCGCTCTCCGACCAAGGTGTCAAGATCTGGGGCGGTAGCAGCAGCCGCGAATTCCTCGACAAAGTCGGCCTGGGCCACCGCGACGTAGGCGACCTCGGTCCTATATACAGGTTTCAATGGCGATACTTCGGGGCCGAGAATGTCGACACTAAAACCGATTACAAAGGACAAGAAGTCAACCGGCTCATCGAGATACTGTACAAGTTAAAACATAACCCTTTCGACTATCGTATTATTATGAGTGCCTGGAACCAGTCGATCTCAAGAAGATAGCACTCCCGCCTTATGATATATTCGCCCAGTTCTATGTCTTCTACCCCAATGGTTAAGACCAGAAAGGTCATCTCTATTGCCAGCCCTATCAGCGCTCGTGTGACGTGGCCCTCGGTGTGCCTTTTAATATTGTCTCCTACAGTCTCTTGAGGTATATACTTATATAGTGGACTTATATCCCGGTACCTTTGTTTATGCTATAGTTAATATCCATGTCTACCTGGACTATATTGAGCTCTTGCAGGAGCAGCTGGTAAGGGGGCTAACTGAGTTCCCGGAGTTAAAGATTTGTCGTGATAATTAGAAAAAGGTTGTATACAAAAAATATATAGAGCCCCTCCTATCTAAGTCTCTGTTATTCAGATTAAATACAACCTTAAACTTATTGACCCTGAGTTAGTGCAGATATTTATTAGTAAAAGAGTTTTTAAAGTTAGAGATTATTTTTTGTACTCTCTTTTACTATAATATAACTCGTAAATTTCTTGTTATTTATATATTCAGTATAGTAATATATTATTCACCGAACAGTTTAAT